ATATTTTGAGGACAAAAACTCTTCAAGAGGGAGAGTATGATGTAAGCATCAGTACCATGCTAGCTGAACCAGAGAAGAGGAGCCATATAGAAGCTGACTTGGAGCTAAACAAGCTTCTAGATAAGGAGAAAAGGAGACAAATAGCTGTTTTCATAGGAGATGAGGACTTAACATCAATACACTGTCGTTCTATGCACCAAGGGGAGCCTTATGATCGTGCCAAGCATGTACTGGTTCAGCTTAATCTGCAAGAGAACCAAGACAAACCATCAAATCTACTTAAACCACCAAATGGAACCACATTGGAGCTAACTAAGGAAATAAGGGATTTCATAACATTATATTCGCCCCACCACTTCATTTGACCACCAAGGAGTATTTCAAGATATTTAGGATCACTAAACCACGCCAATAACCAGAAGAAACCGTTCCATATCCAAGGAGAAACCAAGAAGAAGCTACTTGCCTTAAAAGAGCTTGATTACTTTGCTACCTTTGGAAAGCAAGACCAGAATCTCTTCTCACTTAAAGATCTCGACCATTCATTCCCCTCATCACATCCTGAGCATCAATTCAAGTCAAGGAATCATATCACTTCGCCACCACAAATCAAGCTTTCATTCCCCCATTAGGACAACGGCTAGGAGAATGATGCCAAGACTAAAAATCCCACATTTTATGCTTCTTTTTTTTATTAGCTTTGTTACCTTTTTATTTCATTAATGTTGAGCATTATATAAGCTCCTTACCTCATGTAATTGTCATTATATAAACTGCTTACTGGAATGAAGGTAGCGCGAGCATGCCCACCAATTTCACATTTGTTCTTTTCGGATGATAGCTTATTTTTTTGTAAAGCAACAAGGGATGAAACACAATCTCTGCTGAATATTCTAAAACAGTATGAGCTAGTGTCGGGATAGAAGATAAATATTTTAAAATCATCAATACAATTTTGTCACACGGTGGATCAGGCAATTAGGACAGAAATACAGCAAATATTAGGGATATTGACTATTGGGGGGATAGGTGGCGGTGCTAAAACAAAAATCTTCCATTTCCTTATTGAAAGGCAACAAAAACGAGCTAATGAGTGGACATCTCGACTGCTTTCCAAATGAGGTAAAGAGGTCCTAATTAATTCTTTGACATCAGCTATACCCACCTTTGTGATGTCCTGCTTGTGCCTCCCAAAAACTATCACCACAAAACTTAATAGCACGGTTGCGCGGTTCTGGTGGCGCACTAATGGTATAACACGCAGTATGCATTGGATGGCATGGAAAAAGTTATGTAGGTCAAAATCAGAAAGAGGAATCGGTTTTCCAATAACCTATTTCAACACAGAACTATTAGAGAAATAGCTATGGCGTCTTATTGACTACCCAGATTCATTATTTGTAAAAGTTTTCAAAGGGCGATACTTCAGGAGTGGCAGCTCTATGGAACCTATTTGTTCATACTCTGCATCGTTTGGTTGGAAGAGTATCATATTTGTTAGATCTCTGGTTAACAAAGGGCTTATTAAAAGAGTTGGTTCAGGACTTTCTATCTATGTATGGAATGACCCATGGATTCCAGCATCTCACCCGAAATCAGCGACATGCAAAAGGTATAATATGTACCATGAGCTTACAGTCAGTCAACTGATTGACCCTTCAACATCAATATGGAATTTATGACTTATGGAGCAACTAATTATAGAGGAGGACATTCCCTTGATAACAAGAATCCCAACTACAATGGAGCATAGACAATATCTATCAAACTGACATTTTACAAAATCAGCCAGATATACGGTCAAGTCAGGATACAATACAGACCAGTAATATCCTGATAATAGTGATACACTGAGAGTCTATGGTGTAGATATAACTCATTTACAGGCACATGCTTAGAAGATTAAATGTCCACCCAAAATGAGGCACGTTATTTAGCAGATAATTTCAGGCCGTGTTTCGGTTATGGATCTGTTACGCGATAGGGGATTCAATTGTGATCCTCGAAGCGGGAGACTATAAAGCATACTTTGCTTGAATGTCTGCCGGCAAGACAAATTTGGGCACTATCAATGATTCCAACGCTGTCGCAAAGGTTCCCAATGGAAGCACTATACACTAATATGGCTCACTCTACAATGGGGAACTCCTCCAAATGCTCAACAATGGGGTCTATCATCAAATGCTCCACATTGGGGAACTCCTCCAAATGCTCAACAATGGGTCCATCATCAAATGTTTCACAACGGGGCACTCCTCCAAATGCTCAACAGTGTTGTTAATGATCAAATGTTTAACAATGTGGTTCATCACCACATAATTAATGCGGGTTCATCACCAAATGCTGCGCGAACGATTACTCCGACAAATATTCAACATGGATTTTCATTGGGAACTGAAGTAGACTACAACAAATGCTCAACAAGAAGTTTCACTAGGAGCAGAAGGTTGTACTACATCAAACATTCACAGGCGAGTACCACTAGAATTTGGTTTCATGAACTATTTTTTATATGCACGAAAACAAAGAACACACAGAGTAGGTGAATTATTCAATATTTGGGGAAATAAACAAGGACCAAATTTAAATCAAAGTTATCAAAGTGATCCAAGAAGGAAAGATTAGTTTAGTAGTGCTTGTATTTTGTTATTAATAATTAAGTTATGTTGCACTTTATGTTTTCAATAAAATTCATTTTGTATTATGCATTATTGAATATTGTATCTTTATCATTTTTATTTAAATTTTACCTTGTGCTGATAAAATTTATTTAAGTTTTACTATGTGTTTACAAATTTTTAGGCTTTTCGTATATGTCAGTTGCGATCACATGGTGCCTACAATCTAGGTTATGAGGAGAGAATTGAGTTGTGGAGTTTGGAAAATGAGCAGTTTAAAGAGTTGATAGTTGAACCGTCATTAAGTTACTACAATTGGTATATTCAAAGAGGACTAGCCCAAACTGATAGCAGTTTGAGATGGAGAAAATTGTGTCAATTACAAGAAGACAATGCTGCTTGTCTTCAGCTATTAAGAATGTCAATTAGTGTTTTTCGATCATTGTGTGGTAAACTGCAAACGAATTACGGTTTATAACCAACACTAAATGTAAGCATTAAAGAGAGTGTGGCCATGTTTCTACATATATGTGGGCATAACAAAGTTCAGAGGGATGTTGAATTACGATTTGGATGAACGCAAGAGACAATGAATCTGAATTTTTTTGAAGTGCTTAGAGCAACTGAGTTACTTGCTTGTGATTATATCAAGACTCTAACGACACAAGAACTTAGTTGGATTCTAGAACAGCTAGTAGCAGATGGAACATATTGGCCGTATTTTAGTGGTTTTGTTGGAGCCATGGATGGAGTTCATAAATATGTTAAAGTTAAGCCTGAAATACAAAGAATGTATTAGAACCGATATAATATAATATCTTTTTAATATAACAGCGATATGTGATTTAAATATGTTATTCATATATGTTTGGAATGGAGCACCAGGTTTGTGTTATGATACATCAGTTCTCACAATAACGCAAGATAGTGATTCTGGTTTTCTTTTACCTCCACCTGATAAGTATTATCTCATTGACTCTGGCTAACTAAATAAATAATATTTTTTGGCTCCCTATAGATCTTTGCAAAACGTGGTTGTTAGGTATCACATGTCATAGTTCAATAGTGGTCCTCCTCCCAGAATCAAACAAGAGATGTTTAATAGATATCATGCATCTTCAGGTTCTGTTATTGAGAGAACATTTGGAGTTTGGAAAAAGAAATAGAGGATTTTTTGTGAGTTTTCTAGATATGATATGCATGTTCAGAAAAGAGTGGTCATGGCGACAATGAGGTTACATAATTTTATTAGAATTTCAATTTTTCTTAGATGAAGATTTTGCTGCTACAACGAGACATACATAAATTGATAACAATAGTTCTGTGGTTAAAGCAAGTGATATAAAAAAAGTGAAAATAGAATAAAGAAATCTTATGATAAATATAGGAAATGATTACAAATACATTATGGGCAGATAAAAACACTCTATAATTTTTATTTTTAAATTTATAACATATGTTGTAATCGTATTTAGTTTTCACATATTATTATTTTTTTATTAAAATTAATTTATTTATTATAGTAATTATATTTATAGCTTATATATTTTTATTTTTGTTTTTAATATTTAATTTACATTATTTTTATATTTTTAACATTTTATTAATCAATAAATTTATTTTATCTGTTAAATCTATATTTATTCTACATAGTAACAAAATAATATAATATAGTTATTTATAGATCTGCATTTGTTTTTTATTTATTTGATCTGTACTTATTCTGTTTGATTTGTATTATCGGTTTGATCTGTAAATTTTAATCTGCATCACCATTCGAAACCTATATATATATATATATATATTATCTATAACTCGCTCAAACTTTTAATATGAGATAATTCCCAATACACTTGTCTCACATTTATGTTAGACATCTGAAGGGTGAAGTTTGTAGGAGTGAACATCTATGAATGCATATTTCACAATCAAGATAATTAGATATAATATAGCTTTAATACTATATTAATAATAAATATAATTCACTTTCAAAAACTAACTTAAGAATAAAGGATTACCACACACTATATATTGTCTATAAATTTTTTAAACTTATCGAGAATACAAATACATTAAAATCCAAATAAATTTTGATTTGAACGCAAGGCTTTTCCATGTGTGACCGCCCCCTTCGAAATGATCATAAACAAATGTTTTGTCTCGTTAACAAACAACGATTTAGGTTAGTGGGCTTACCCATTCACACCAAAAAGAACCCCTAAACCCCCCCCCCCCCCCAATCTCTCTCAGTCTCCACCGTTCTTCTCCAAAATTCCCCGGCGGTATCACCTCCTCTCCTTCTACACCGTTTCTTCAAGTTTGATTCTTTCGATTGTATGACCTAGATTCATCGATTCACATCTTTTTAATCCAGATTGATAGATTATTATAACAGCGACGATGACGCTAGGGTTGTTATTGGGTATCGGAAGATCTTTCCGGCGAAAGCGAGCATCTTCGCTTGATATCCTCTCCCCGAAACGAGCTCCCAGAGACTTCTACAAGGGGAAGAACTGTAAACCCTCTGGTTTCCACACCAGAAAAGGTATTAATTTCTTCAAAATCTCAATAATATTTCGCATTTCACCCCAATTTCACCGATAATATGGCTGCTTTTTCTGCATCTTATCTCTGTTTTTTTTATGTTTGACCTGAAACTGGAACAGTTTGTTTACTCTTAATTGTTCTGCAATCGAGAATCAAATCTGTTTGGTTGATTCTTTAGGTTGTATTAAAAAAAAACTGAAACTCAATTTAGGCGAAATTTCCATCATCATAGATGAGAGTCGTGGATTCATGATATATAAAGTGTTTGATGATAGAGAGTCTGAGAATCAATCTGTTTCCAAAAACAGATGACTTTTAATTAGATATGTACAATCCAAGGAGAGCTTTTATCAAGCTAAGTTCAGGAATTTATCCGATTCTAGTTAAGAATTTGAACTCAGTTTTGGCACTTCGTGCATTCTTTTCCAAGTTTGTGAGATTTTATTGCAGGAGGATATGTGGTGCAGCCAGATAAATTGCCAAACTATGTAGTTCCTGATCTAACCGGCTTTAAGGTTTTCATTTCACTCTATACTCTTCTGTTTTCTTTTCTCTGATTCCTCTATCTTATGTAAATCCCTTGAAAAAAGGTCCTTAGGTTTTGTGATCCTGATGATCTTGTTCTTAATAAGTTTTGAGCTCTCTATTTTTAGAGTAGAATATACAGCACCATTAGAGAGATGATTTTGCTCTAACATAGAGTTTAGAGACAAAAATAGTCTCATTGATTCATCTGTATAAATAGCTGAGTAAGTAACTTGCATTCCTAATTGAACATGAGCACCAAACGTTTTTGTGAATCACTTGAGAAATCTTTCTACAAGTCGTACTAGTGGAAGCTCCTTAGGCTCAAATACGTGTTGGTTGTTAGTTTTGTGTTAGGAAATTGAAATCGAATGCTTACTTAAATGTATTAAGCTTGTGTTGTGTATTTTAGCTTTGCTAATGAAACGATTTGTATTTTACAGCTGAAACCATATGTATCTCAGTGCCCTATAGAGGTCAACAAAACAACAGGGTCAACGGAAGCTTCCAAGTGAACAAGTCAGTAGAATTTTGTTCTACGAAACTCGTGTCCTTTGATCCTTAATCATTTTTATTTTCATGGATTTCAAGCAAGTTTATGGCAACATTTGGGTTAATGATAACCATAATGGAAGGTTTGTCTTTACCTGACTACTTTGCGTTATGAAAATTCATCTTAAATTTAAGGATCCAACGATTCTATTTCTCCCAAAGTTCTCCACTCCAATTTCATTTATCTTTATTTTACTATTATCAAAATAATGCCGAAAAGAAATGTTTCTTCTAAGCTATTGCTATATACAACTTCAAATGTAAAGCGATGATCATCTTAACAAAGATTGAATCACTCAAATTCGAATATTGTAATATTAGATTAATGAATTGGGTGAACAACTTATATGAATTAAACCGTAACAGCTAAACATTGTTCCATGCGATAAAAACCATCATCAATCAAAACATCACACCACTGCACCTTACGCCAAATCTCTCCTTCTTGCCGTCTTTCCAAAACAATCTCTGCACACCAATTATCTATCGTTTTATCACCAGATTTGTGAAAGAACAGAGCCAATTTCTCACCGTAATAAAATATTTTTCGCAACCATGATTTAGTCGTCTTAGCCAATAATTCTTCCAAACCTTTTACCACTCTCCAACACCTCTGCTTTGGATCATACACTATTAACGTTTTCTCGTAACCATCGAAATAGTACAATACGTTGTCAACGATACAAGTACCCGTACAATCTCTAGAACTCAGTGTAACACTCGCCTCTCATCATTTTTAAGACGGTGTGCTACCCACTTAACTTTCAAACCAAGTTACCACACTTTTAACTCGAAACTAATACTCTTTCATAAATAGAACTCAAAGTAGTCTTACAAAACCGAAGTGAAACTTGAAATAACCATAAATAAGTCTTAAAACCAACTGAAACCATTTGAAATAGAAAGCTAAGTGTTTTAGGTTCCCCAAGGATCGAACTAAAGAACCATTCACCACCATCACGCGCCAATCACTCCTGCTGCTCCTGCTCACCTGCGCAAGGGGGGAAAGGGACATGGAGAGAATGAGTAATTTAGATTACCCAGGAGAATGCATACATGTGGTCCACCACACATATCACAACTTAAACATGTCGTTAGCCATCAGCTAAACGAACAAGCATTCACAACTATTCAATAATCAACAATCAACAAACAAACATAATAGGTCTAGGTAGGAACTACATCTACCATAACCACAACAAGCAATCACATTAGGTCGAAGTAGGAACTGCATCTACCATAACCTCAACAACCCTACAAGTGGAACTGCATCATTTTCAGCTATCGGTATAGGTAGGAACTGCATCTACCATAACCCCAAACAATCCGATAAGTGGAACTGCATCACTCACGGCCCTTATGTCTAGGTAGGAACTGCAACTACCGCAATATCAACAATCCGATAAGTGGAACTGCATCACTTTCGGTTCCTAATGCAATTGTGCTCTCAACACTCTAGATGCAATGCAACCCACAATTCTCACAAGCAATCAAACACAAAACAGCAATCAACAATATTAACTATGGTCCTAAATCTATGTTCAGAAACAATCAAAAGTAAATCAAAGCACACAACAAGCAACTACAAGTTACGCCATAAGCGCAACTTGCAGGGGGAAGAAAATCCGCTTATCCTTAACCAGAGACAAGCGCGGAAGATAATACGGAAGGGAAGGCATGGATACATCCTCACATTTCACGGATTGAATGAACAGCTAAAAGAAAAGGGGTTAAGGTTTAGGGATCTAACGACAAGAAGCAGAAAACGCAAGGAGACAACAAGATGGTGCAAACGAACGGTGACGGCGGCTCCTCTCTCCCTTGGCGGCTGGTGGCGACGACTGAAGGCTAGGGTTTATGGTTTCTATCTCTAAGTGCTCTGGGAATTGTGATGACAATTCTGACTCTCTAACTCTCTTTATATAGAGGAGGGGGAACTCTAGGGTTAGATTTTTTATAACCTAATGGGCTTAACGGCCTTTTGGGCTTAAAACATTAAAGAAAAAAATAACAGGCCGGTTTAGCAAAACCGGGATGTTACAATTCTCCTCCATTTGAAAGGAATTCGTCCCCGAATTCATGGGACTACTTCTCCCCCACTTGGTTTCCAACCAAAATTTCAAATGGAACTTTCCCATTAGACGTTCTACTTCTAGGGTTCTACTCTATAAGGAAACAAAACTAAACAACTGGACCACAATGACAGAGTTACTTACCAACAATCGGTTCAGCCCCTTCGTGATTTGTTGCCATGAGCACACCCGGTCCAGGGGCGTGCCTCATAGGTGGCGGTGGAAACTGTTCTTGGTTGACTCCATCTGTTGCGGTATGTATGCTCTGCAATCCTTTGCAAGATGTCCCAACTGTCTGCAACGACTACAATATCCTACTGCTAATGCTATTGGGCATTCCCGTGCAATGTGTCCTGGCTGATCACATCGGAAGCACAAACTTTCCTTGCATACACCACGATGCACCTTTTTACACTTCACACAAGGCGTAGCAGCTCCCTCTTTCTGGTTAGCAGTATCCTAAGTTCGCTTATAGGTTTCCGTCCCTTTAGCAGTCCTTGCTTGGGCATTCTGCGCCAGCTTCTGCTCCTCCTCAAGACCAGCCTCATGCAATACAGCTGTTTCTACAAGATCGATCATGCTGTCATACCTCCTAATGGATCAGCGATTCTTGAGTTCGACCCTCATCCCCCTTTGGAAGAGTCGGATCAACTCTTGCTCTCCTGGGTAGTGACCAGCAAATCTTCTCAAACGATTGAACTCCTCCTCGTACTCGCGTATGGTCTTGCTTCCTTGACGCAAGTCTTGGAACGCACTCATCATCTTTTCCATCGCCTCACGAGGAAAGTACTTACGGGAGAATTCTGCCTTGAAGTCATCCCAGGTGAGCTCATACCGTCCCTCAGTCTTCTCTACAAGACCTTCCCACCATACCAGCGCCTCGTCCTCCAGGTACTGGACGACCAGGTCTCTGTGGTATGCTGGCGGACATCTTGCTCCATCAAGATTCCTTTCCAACTTCTTCCTCCAGTTGTCTGCGTCAGTAGGGTCGCTCTTACCCGCAAACATCTCAGTTCTCATGAGGCGAACGTGATTCATAGCCTCTCAATAGGTTGGTACAGGCTCCATGTCCTGCCCATGACCCAAAGGTGGTGGTGGTGGTGGGGGTGGTCGAACCGCCTCAACCGGCTCCTCACAATGCGGATTGGCACCTCAATGTGCTCTTTCCGCGTTGAGGTTTCAACGAAAAGGATTTCCATACTTCTCGCGGTACCTTATTAGCTCTTCTCTTTCAGCAGCTATCTCTGCAATACGCGCTGGGTCCACAACTCGAGCTTGCTCAGCTGCACGCGCCTGCTCTTCTCGAGCTTGGGCGGCAGCACTGTCCTGTTCTGCAGCCAAAGCCTGTTGCGTGGCTAAGGCTTAAGCACGTGCTTCCTCTGCCTGCTCAATGGCACGAGTCCGCTCGGTATTGCCTCCATTCATGCTTCCTGTTGAAGTGGTTTGGGTTCCTTCCTCACTTGCACATCGTACAACAGCCCTAGTCAAACGTTGCCCCTCTGGTGGCATCTATTCACAAGAATAAGTAATCAGAATCGAGTTCTACGATTCGATTGGCCACCGCAAACGCAGATACAGTAGACACAATGAAGATGTAGACAGCAGATGTAGACACAACTGAAGATAACAAAAATACTAACTTACTGAGCTTGGAGACCAGAGTGATGCGGTGAGGTGTGTTCTGTTTTACTTTTGAAAACCCCTAACCCCATTTAAAACTTTTGAAAACGTTTTTACTTTGAAAGCATAGTCTCCCGAGTCGGAACCGGTTTGACTTGTAACCTAGGCTCTGATACCACTTTGTAACACTCGCCTCTTATCATTTTAAGACAGCGTGCCACCCACTTAACTTTCTAACCAAGTTACCACACTTTTATCTCAAAACCAATACTCTTTCATAAATAGAACTCAAAGTAGTCTTACAAAACCGAACTGAAACTTGAAATAACCACAAATAAGTCTTAAAACCAATTGAAACCATTTGAAATAGAAAGCTAAGTGTTTTAGGTTCCCCAAGGATCGAACTAAAGAACCATTCACCACCATCACGTGCCAATCACTCCTGCTGCTCCTGCTCACCTGCGCAAGGGATAAAAGGGACAAGGAGGGGATGAGTAATTTAGATTACCCAAGAGAATGCATACATGTGGTCCACCACACATATCACAACTTAAACATGTCGCTAGCCATCAGCTAAACGAACAAGCATTCACAACTATTCAATAATCAACAATCAACAAACAATCATAATAGGTCTAAGTAGGAATTACATCTACCATAAACACAACAAGCAATCACATTAGGTCGAAGTAGGAACTGCATCTACCATAATCTCAACAACCCTACAAGTGGAACTGCATCACTTTCAACTATCGGTATAGGTAGGAACTGCATCTACCATAACCCCAAACAATCCAATAAGTGGAACTGCATCACTCACGGCCCTTATGTCTAGGTAGGAACTGCATCTACCGCAACATCAACAATCAGATAAGTGAAACTGCATCACTTTCGATTCCTAATGCAATTGTGCTCTCAACACTCTATATGCAATGCAACCCACAATTCTCACAAGCAATCAAACACAAAACAGCAATCAACAATATTAACCGTGATCCTAGATCTATGTTCAGAAACAATTAAAAGTAAATCAAAGCACACAACAAACAACTACAAGTTACGCCATAAGCGCAACTTGCAGGGGGAAGAAAATCCGCTTATCCTTAACCAGAGACAAGTGCGGAAGATAATACGGAAGGGAAGGCATGGATACATCCTCACCTTTCACAAATTGAATGAACAGCTAAAAGAAAAGGGGTTAAGGTTTAGGGATCTAATGACAAGAAGCAGATAACGCAAGGAGACAACAAGTCGGCGCAAACGAACGGTGACGGCGGCTCCTCTCTCCCTTGGCGGGGTGGCGACGACTGAAGGCTATGGTTTAGGATTTCTATCTCTAAGTGCTCTGGGAATTGTGATGATAATTCTGACTCTCTAACTCTCCTTATAAAGAGGAGGGGGAACTCTATGGTTAGGATTTTTATAACCTAATGGGCTTAACGGACTTTTGGACTTCAAACATTAAAGAAAAAAATAACATGCCGGTTTAGCAAAACCGGGATATTACACTCAGAACCTCGTTCAGTTCCCGTTTGCTTTCCTTTGGTTCATAAAGAAAGCTATTCTCACCATCTCTCATGTAAAGCTTATCTTCCATCACCACAGCACCACACCACAAGTCACCTATCTTCATGTCTGGCTTTGTCTTCACGTGCTCCCACATTTGAGTCTCTGTATTCAACACCATGATTCTCTTGCTCACCTCCTCATCACACAAAAAATCTCCGATTACGCAAATCTTCCCACTGATGATGCCAACGACCGTTTCATTCATGGGCTTGTGATTCCAAAGGGGTTTTGCACCAGTGGAGGAGTGATTCCAAAGCGGTTGTGATGTGTGTTTGGAGCATCACCCGCACCGATGATCCTTGGTGCTTTTGGGGCGTGGTTGGGGTTTCCATTACCCCTTCCAGCAGCAGCACGGTGAGGTGGAGCCTCAGCTTGGTCTTACTCAGCCATGACCTCAAAATCAAGAAGATCGGGTTGCAATATCTCCTCAAAGTGTTGTTCTTGTTCTCTTGCCCTTCTTTCTCTTGCACTTCCGAGTTGGTGAATGTTGTCTAGAGGTTGTAGTAGATTGTTGTCACCACTAGACTTCAAATTCATGTACATGAGAAAGCAAGTATGAAGGTAGAGAAATTAGTAATCAAAGTAAAAATAAGAACTTAGTCTCTACTAAGCTCCAAATCCTAATACTTTCAACTCAAACCCAAGTTGGCAACGGCGCCATTTGATAAACAGATTTTTCATGCAAGCTGTTTTAGAATAAAACCCAAACCAAGGTAATGATGTAGTATAGTGGTAAGGGGTATCAATCCAGCCTAGGTTGATGAAAGTTACTAGGTATACAAGAACTTTATAAAGCTAAGTGAAAATCGGATTAATGGAGGAGAAATTCGATAAAAACTAAATGCAAATGCTAAATGACCGATAAAACTGTTTTAAAATCCCCTCTTAAGGTTTAAGCAACTAGCAGATGACTTCAAGGAATTTAAAATTCAAGACTACTTATTTATAAAAATCGAAAACTAAAGGCAGATAAACAGAGAAATTGCTAACAACCTAGAACAATGACTTTTAAGACTAAAGATGCAAACTTTATAACTAAGAAATG